CCCAGGGTCAAGCAAGTATAAAATTCTCAATTTGGCTTTTAAAGTCCTTCATGACATGGGCCCATCCTACATTTCCAATCTTCTATGCTTTACTCATTTTCACATACTCTATGATCCATGACAATAATCTTCTTGCTGTTCTCTCCACCTCCCTACTCTGTCTTTCCAACAACCGTCAACCATACCTGTGATGATCTCCCTCTGCTCTTCCACTTTCTGGCTTCCTTCATGACTTAGTGCTAATTGTTCTGGTCCCCCCTCTATAGCTAGTGCCTGCCCTGTGAGATTATCTTCCATTTGTATTGTATATAATTTATATATCCACATAATTGTTTGCATTTTGTTTCCCTCATTACACTGCAAGTTCTTTGAAGACAGAGGCTTATTCTTTTTGCCTTTCTTTGTAGGCCCAGTGCTTAGCAAAATACTTGGAACACAGTAAATACTTAATAAATCCTTGTTGACTGACTGATTGGTGGTGAAATTTTGGCCATGGCAACCCACGAAACAAACAAAAATACAAAATAGCCTTTTGTGATGGCTTACTGGGATGGCACAAAAGAAGGGAAAGAATCCTAAGAACTGCAGTTGTGTAAGCTATCTACAAATGTTAACTTAAGCCACTGACTCTTATCTAGTAACCAACAAGTGAACATATTAGTAGAAGAACTTAATTATATCAGTCTTGATATTCTTGCTGTAAATGAAACCAGAAAACAAAAGAAGTTGCTGCCACATAGAGAGATGGCTGCCAGGTGCTTCTTGGAGAGGCAAACAAAGGAGTGGTAATCTCTATGCAATGTTTATGAGATTACACACACATGAAATTCATTCTTAATAAAAGGCCACATTTAACAAGTGATTTAGTTGTTTAGTACCTTTACAATCGACTGAAATGTATAAGAAATACAAAGTTTAGTTGTGCTTATTTCTTATTTACTTAAACAAAATTGACTCAGTAAAGCAAAATACCACCTTAAAGTCTCTCTTCCAAAATTCTCCCTTGCATGTTAAAACCATAAAGATCTAACAGATAATTCAGTTTGATGACGTAGAGTTAATTGATATCAAGCTAGGCATAAAATAGAGAGAATTTCTACTCACCAAAAATGTTGGCTGCCCTAATGGAAGAAACCTCAGTATGGAATCCAAATGGAAGAGGAATTTTTCATAGATGGCAAAGTTCTTCGGCTTTATCTCTTTGTGGAAGAATTTATTTTAGTTATATCAAGCCATGTGGGATGTTACACAGCCTCATACGAGATCCATGATCACTCAAAAAAGGTTCATCATTTATTTAACTAAGTCATCCTGCCATTAACTTTGTTATTATCCCACTTTCCCATCTGGAACTAGGGAGTTAGGAAGATCCAAGTTCAAATCTAGTTTCAAACACTTACTAGTTATGGGCAAATCACTTAACTGTCTGCCTCAGTCTTTTCCTGTGTTAGATGGGGATGATAATAGTGCCTACCTCCCAAAGTAGTTATGAGGATCAAATGAGATAATATTTGTAAAATGCTTTACAAACCTTAAAGCACCATTTATTATTATTTATTATTAACCACACTCTCTTGACAGGACCTCTAGAAACTGTGCCCCTAGTCTCTAGGGGTACATATTCCACTCATCTTTGGAAATCCCATCCTGTGGCTGAGTCGCCTTGAATGGTGAATGAATGAGTATAAAAATACCTATGCTGCTACATTTAGCCAGCCTCAGACAAGACCATATATTTCCCATTTTACCTGGACCATCTCGTAATCAGCCTTGCCTTTTTCATCCCCGTTTTCCCACTCTCCTCTCTCTCTGCACTTTTCACCTCTTGTTTATTGGCATGGTAATCAATCACAGTGCATTGCTTCTAGAAAGATTGCTTGAATTAATTATCCTTTGGCCTATCTCATCATTTCTGTTGCTTCCTAGATCAAATCTTTCTTCCCTGGATACCAGTCCCCTTCATGCATAGTAGAATATAAACTCCTTGAAGGCAAGGATTGTCTCATTTTTGTGTTTATATTCTAGGCACTTAGCTCAGTGATTGGTACTTAGTGCTTAATAAATTCTTTTTTAATTCATTTAGCCGTTTATCTGAAAAACCAAGTGGATGGAAAAATCCTATCAGATGTAGCTCAATGGATAACCAATCCACCAATAGATATTGTCTTGGACAGATAATACCAATAGACAAATGAGCCAGATCCAGAGGTGAACAAGAGGAGGAGAATGAATTGTATTGCCTTTAGGAAAATGCATGGTGCTTTTTTTCTTCAGTCTTTTCTGAGAATCAAATACCCATCATTTTAACAATAATAATCTTCTGGTGATGTTGTTGCATTCCTCATTTTAGAATAGCGTATTCTCTGAAGAAGTAAAATGAAAGGTCACCAAAGAAGCAATAGAGATTCATGTGGTAGATGTAAGCAGGAGGCAACAAATGATAAACAGAGAACTTTACAGGCACAGGACATTAAAGATATCATCAGAAAGATGTATGACCGGAGGGAAAAACTCAGCTGGTCACATAATAAGACTGAAGTGTAACTGATGGATAACTTGTGTACTTTACCAAAATAATAGACAAGATCAAGAGATCTAGAGGAAGACTGACCACTTTAGGTAGACCTGCTTGGAGGATTCAAGGAAGGACATGGACAAGATTGCACAGGGTACACAGGCAGGGATGGGTTGCCACCATGCAGCAATGTAGAAAATACCCACATCAACGAAATCACAGATCTGTCCGAAGAGCTAAGCAATTTATATTACATGATTTTTTTTACATATATCAAATAAATTAACATATGTAAAACATTTTTCAAACCTTAAACTGCTACATAGATGCTAGCTATTTTTAGCTATTACTGTCACTTAAAGGCAAGAGGCCTTTAAAACTCTGGCCTGCTTTCTTTCTTCCTCTAAAGCATATTTTCCAACATATTGTTTGCTGCCTTCCCTTTTACCCACCCTTGCATTCAACTGCAACTTTTTTTCTGTCTTCTGGTTTCACTTATAGCAAGAATATCCTCCAGATGTACATCTATTTCAGAGGTTGCCAAATTATGGCCTTCAGACCAAAATTGCTCCCATTTTTATTCAGCTGCAAGCAAAGAATATTTTGTTTTTACATTTTAAAATAAAGTTTTATTGTATTTTAAAATACAAAAACCATTCTTGACTCTCAGGCTGTGCAAAAAAACAGGTGGTGAGCTAGATTTGGCTCTCAGGCAATCTATTTGTTCAGCCTGGCCATGAACCTCACCTTTAGAGCAGTCATAGCTAATCTGTAGAAGCAATTTAAAAACCACGCGGCCTTTAGCACATTCTGTTTCATTTTCTGCCCTCACTGACAAAGAGGAAGGAAACCACACAGGACCATTTTTGTTTCATGGATTGCCATGGCCAAAGAATTCATGGCCTAGTAGGCAGCCTACTAATGATAATCCTTAGAAAGTAGACATGCCTTTTCACCAGAACTGCACTGGAAGTCTTTTCCAGTATGATAAAGCTTGCCAGATCTCATGCTTTAATGACTTAGCCTTCAAGTCACTTTAACTTAGTATGGCCTAGCAGAGAGAGCACTAGAAAAGAGTGCTGGGTATAAAATCCTTCCTCCAACTTATTGGCTGAGTGACCTGGGTCACTTAACTTCTCTTGGCCTCAGTTCCTCATCTGTAAAATAAATGGGTTAGATTCTATCTTGAAGGTCTCTTCTAGCTCTAAATCAGTCATCTTATATATGCATCAAAATATGGCATCAGTAGGACTTGTTGAAGGTCATGATAACTCCTATGAGAGATATCTTTGTGATTTTTAAAATTTTTTTCTACCATTTTTTTAAATTTTGTAAAAATGACTATTCTAATATTCAATTCAGTTTAATTAAACATACATTAAGTACCTGCTACATGCAAAACATTCCACTAGGTGTTTGGCATACAGGGATAGATAATGACTATGTAGCATTTACCATGTACCAGATGCTGTGCTAAGTGATTTTAAAGTATTATCTGATTTGGTCCTTACAATGACCCTGGGAGGTAGGTACTATTATTACCCCCATTTTACAGATGAGGAAACTGTGATATGGTGCAACAGATGTGATGTAAGCCCCGAGAACAAGCAACATTAAATCCCATGGGAGAAAAAACATATATAAATGACTGTGGCAGTCAAATGTTAAGGAAGTTCATACCACAGATGCATTCTTTAATCTCAAAAAAAGGGGAAATAATAATAACATACACTATCTGTGGAGAGGTAATATGATATAATAGATAGAGGTCAAGATTTGGAGTTAAGAAGACTACCTTTAACATGTTATGAACATGGGCAAGTCACTAAGACTACGTAGCTCTCTTAGAGGGAAATGACTTAAAGCAAAAGAAAAGTACTGTCTCTTGAGTGAGAGGACCCAGGTTCAAATCCCACCATTTATAACCTGTGTGACTTTGGGTAAGTCACTTATTTAGCTTCCCTGGAACTCAATTTCCTCACCTGAAAGATAAGGGAGTTAGATTAAATGGCCTCAGAGTTCACTTTCCTGAGTGACAAATGAGTTGTGGATCATAGTCTTAGATCTAGGAAGAGCCTTAGACACCATCTAGGCCAACCCCTACATTTTACAAATGATCTGAATTGGTAGAGGCCATTTGCAAACAGATCCTCTTTTTGATGATATCACAGGTCTCGACCAAATAACAACAATGACAACTGATAAACCAAGAGATTGACTAGCGAGCCCTATATATTTTTTTTAATGAATGAGTAAATTTCAGGACTTAAGTGAGAATTAACTTAATATAAAATTAGGATAAAAACCTAGAGATATTTTATTAGAGTAGATATGTTTGATCACACTTTTGTATATAGTAAGTTAGGTAGTTAGAAAAGATATTAATGCTTCTGTGCCTGAAAGTATTCTTAGAGTCTCATTAATGAGACTCTGCCTAAAATATCCTTATATAATTTGGAATAATTACTGGTTTAACACTTTGTAGGTTTGACCCTCAAAAGGGATTTTGGTGTCAGCTACTAGAAGGAGGAAAAACCAAATGCCTTGGGAAAAGTAAAGGCCGAAAATACCCACCAATGGATCTAGAGGTACTGGTCATTGTTGTTTTTGCCCAGCTTTTGAGTTATTTTCTTTAAAAAAAACATCCCCAGGGAAAGGATGCTACAAAGATAGTATAGTGATTTTCCTATTACACTTAGTCAGTTTTCAATAATTTGATAGATTTAAAGACATGTTTAAAATGATTTTCTAACTTACCATTGATGATACAAATACTGGACATACTAAAATATTTTCTTTAAAGTTACATAAAACTATGGTATGAACGACGCTATGGTTTAGACATTTACCAAATAGGCTGAATTCAGGGAGAAGCATAGAAATAATATTTTAATCCCCTATACTCTTTCTAAAATCTTATTTTTTTTCAGGAAGACTTCAGAAGTTTTGTCAATCAACCAACATGTTTCAAGTCCTCTATTAAGTATTTGGGGACAGAAGAGAGATCTAAAACATTTTTTGCCTCTAAAAAGTTTGCAGTCTAGCTGGAAAGATAAATATAATTAATCTACTAGAGACAGACAGAGGATAACATTTAATAAAACTAAATTGTGGGAAGATAGACGAGAAATACAAGAGAAGTGAGAGCCAAAGCAGTCAGGAAAGGCTTCAAAGAAGTGGGAGACTTTGGCTGTACCTTGAAGAACCTGAAGAATCCATATAGAGCCAGGTGTTTTAATCATTTTTGTGTATAGCATTCTGGTGAAGCCTATGGAACCCATCTCAGAATGCTGTTTTTAAATGTATAAAATAAAATACATGGCACTCTAAATGAAGCCAATTATATTGAAATACAATGATCAAAAATAATTAAGCCCATGTTTATGGATTCCCCATTAAGAATCCCTGAATTATAGGGATTATTCAAGGTAGTTAGTTGCCTGCTCAAATTGATGGAGCGAATCTTTAGAACTTTTAAAGACATTCCTGTGGAAGATATGGTTATGCTCATTGGTACCTTGTTGAGAGAATTAAAGACATCTGATTCAGTCTGCAGTATGGGGCTGCCATAAAAGTAAGTGGGTGGCTTGGGTTTTTGAGGGGAATGGGTTTCACAGCTTGACCATGACCCCAAGATGAGCTGATTGGCACAGATACTTTGGAAGATGGAAGCCTTTGAGAGGAGCCACTCTTTTGTGCTAGCCTATGAAAAGCAGTCCACAGGCCTGTTTAGTGCTCTTATTTTCCTTTTTGTACTTTTTTTCTGAAGAAGAACTAGGAGTAGAAGAGGAAAAGGGGATGGAGAGTGGGAACTGAAGAAGGAATGTGTACAGAAAGGAGGGAGCCATTAATGACAGCTTTGGGGTTATTAATCTCTTATATGTTCTCACCCAGATGGCTGGACAATAAGAGTTCTTGAACCCTACTCTCTTCAGAAGTTTTTGAGAGCTCCCAAGAGCAGTCTCTCCACTGGTCCTGATCACCGAGACTTATGAAATGACTTTAGTTCTTTTGACAAAGTGCCTGGAGAAAAAGCCATACTCTTTTATGGGAGATGCTATCAAAGGTTTAATTTTATCCACAAGTAGCCCCCCCAAAAAAAAGATTAGAAATTCATCAAGATGATCTAGAAACATCCTTGACCAAACACCTAACTCTTAAGTCATTTAGCTCAGGGGAAATTCCATTTCCATATCCATGATAACATGCTCTTTTATGGCAAAATGTCACCATAACAATTAAATTAAGAAAACCAAGAAATTGATAAACTATTTATCAATTATAGACTAAGGCAAAAATATTTGGTCAAAGCATCCGTGTTACTAAAATCCATCAGTATGACTTTGGTATCATTATTACATGCTGCCATCTCATTCTCAACCTTCCTTATCTGATAAGGGGAGTCAAGCAATTAAAAATTATCTAGCTAGAATAAGATAAAATTCAAGTATTAAGAAACAAGCTACAGAAACCAAACAGTGAGAGAGAAAATGTGATGTTATAAAACCAGACAATACTTCCCCTACCCCTGTACCATTTTAAATTGCTTTAGATCACTGATCCCATTCCATTTTAATAGATTATATATAGTACTTTCACTCTATGAACTAGTATTACTGTCAATGCCTGTCTCCCAAAGACATACAAGTTTTTCCTCTTCTTGTTACCAGTTTCCCCTTCTGTCCCTTCAGCCAGACTCCTTCTACACTCATTCCTAGTGTGACGCTCCTTCCAATCTTTCCCACCATGAATACTCTATTCCTGCTCATTTAGTTGACACACAAGACTTATGGAGAAGACTTTATTTAAAAGCTATCTTGTTGCCTCGGCCCTTGAAAAATGCTTAATGCTTACGGACTGATAGTGCCATTAGTTGACTCCTTAAGGAATCACTGGATACTGTTGACTGAATGATGTAGAAGTAGATAATTTAACTTACTTAGGAAGGTTAACATTTATGCCAGTGAGGCATCAGGGAATCCTCTTTTAACACATGCACACACACAATATGCAATAGAATGAAGGGAAAAGTTGGGCAATGGGGGTAGGGTTACGGATAGGAAAATCAAGCAGGGGGAGGGTAGCAAATAAAAGTAATCAGATATAGAGATTTGGAGGTTTCTAGAGCCTCCACAAAAATCTAGATTGTCACCTAACTAATAACTTTGTTTTTGTCTTACTTTGTATGTTTCCTTATCACTCAGTCTAGAGCATTCCTCTCCAGTTATTACCGAGATCATAATGTGGAACTGTCCAAACTTCTGCACAGACTGGGGCAACCTCTGCCATCATGGCTGAGACAGGAACTGCAGAAAGTAAGATAGCACTGGAAAGAAGGACCCCAGTCTCATATGACAATTACCTTTATTATCAAGAACAAAAACCAATCTACACCTTGTACTTTCTCAATGCACTTGTGATTGTCAGTAGAGCACTTTGTGAAACATTTTCTCTTTCTGAAAAAAAAGATAAAAAAGAGAAGAGGCAAGAAGAGATGAAGAGAAAAGAAAAAGAAAATCTACTATACATGACACACTGACAATTACTAGCACTGTGTCAACTTTTAGAAACAATGCAGACTTAACATGGCATTATTCGATATCCAAATCTGGGACTTATGATATATTCCAGTTTCTCTGTTAACCAGAAAATTCCCAAAATTGAATGTACATTTGATAACCTTCATCATTTCTAAAGGTCCAATTACAATCTTTCAGGCTAGGAGCAAGGGCCCGAAATGTCTGTCAATGCATTTTGAGATTGAAAATAACCCAATGTCTGAATTCAGTGGCTCACTATTTCTTTTCCTTCATATTATCTAGCCAATTTCAGTATAACTTGGTATAAGAAAGAACATCTTCCTGCACTCCATTTGTTTTATTTAAACTTCCATGATTTATGGTCACCAGCCTCCCTAGTTCTTTGCATTTCTTTCAGAGTAGCTTGAGACCCTCAATGAATTCTGCTGATTTACTGAAGAATGTGAAGTGAACTTATGTGAAGTAGACCCAGCACATAAAGATCCCTTTCTCCTTTTGCCTTTGGAGGAAGCAGGCTGATCAAAACCAGTGTGAACTTTGCTGAAAGTGCTGTAATTTTTGCTGTTCCTCTTGCTTTTTAGCTTTTTTTCTGCCACTCTTGAAGAGGTATTTCATCATGGTTGTCTAGACCCCCCATTAATCATGATCATGGTTTGAGATGTGGTTTTACATGGAATATTTTGTCATAGTGTCACTGGTGGATGTAAGACAATCATTAAAAGGGTCCTAAACCAAACCAAGCAATTAGCCTAGTTATTGGCACAGTGACAGTGGCATATGTATGAGTGACGTGGGGGAGAGGGAGGAGGGGAACAGAAGCCAAATCTAATTTTTTGGAAAGACTGAGGACATTTAGATCTGCTTAAAAGTATCCTAAGACACACACATCCTTTGTCATCTCTAAATTTGTTGGATTTTAAAATTCTGAAACATGAATCTTTTTTCTCCCCTGTGTTTTATTTTGCTGTTGTCTTTACAAATCTATAAACAGCAAGCTTCACCACATATATTCTTCACTGAAAAAAATTGATTATAAAAAGAAAGAAAATACCCTAATATATCTATTTACTTTGCCCCTTTAAAAATTATTTTCTCACCAAATGCCTTGTTTCTGATACCAGATCAAAGATATGCCCTTTCTATTTAGGGTTTCATTGTTCCTTGAAAATTCTAGATGGGTGTTATTCTACCTATCATAGAGATTCCTTTTAATCCCACTAGTCAGCTGAAGTTTAATATGGTTTTGTCAATTTGTAAAGTGCTACCCTACGGATAAAATTACCATAGGCCAACAAAGCAGGACTGCTTTGGTAACATTAGCCATCAACACAGGCTTTATGCAGAAGAGTTTTATTGTGGGCCAAGACTTTTCTACATTGGCTGAAACTAGGTTTCATTAATCCTATAAACAAATTAAGTAATTTTGCTTGTAACGTTACTGATTATGTAACTGTTGGGAACTTGAAAGACCCATTTTTGAGAACTCAACCAAATTAAAAAAGAAACAAACCCAGACCATTTATTAATAGGAAATGGTCAAGCTTAGTATTTATTTTATTTTTCTCCCTTGAGTTAATCATGACTTAATTTCTAAGTTATACCATGCATTTCCATTTCATTGTGATTGGGGTAAGAAGGGTGAGAATTTGGCTCCTTATTTGTTCCATGCTATCTAGTGATACCTATAAGCTTCTGATATTTTGGAGAAATTCTAATGGTTTTTTTTGTGCTTTTTTTTTCAACTCAGCAAATATATATATTGAATACCTTCTCACCATAGCAGATGCTAAAGGATATAAAGATGAATAAGACGTGGTCTCTTCCTGCCAAGTAGCTGGTAGGAATTAGAAGGTGTGGAATCAGAAATCAGAGATCAAGACTAGAAGGGAACTTAGAGGCCAGTAAGTCCAAACCTCTTGTTTTTAAAAATAGGGAAACTGAGGCCCAGAGAGGCTATGTGATTTGCTTAATGTCACACAGATACTAAGTATCATAGGTGGGATTGGAACCCAAGTTATCTGACTCTGGAACTCCTTGTATTACTGTACCATGCTGCCCCAAGGATTTGCTCTCTTCTGTTTATCATCTTTTGCTGTGTGGCTCAAACATAAGGTTCACATTTATACACCTGCAGTAGCTTGGGTGACTGTCATTGTATTGTGGGGTTTTTTGTTTGTTTGTTTTGTTTGTTTGCTTTTTGATGAGGCAATCGGGGTTAAGTGACTTGCCCAAGGTCACACAGCTAGTAAATGTCATGTGTCTGAGGCCAGAATTGAACTCAGGTCCTCCTGAGCTCTATCTACTGCGCCACCTAGCTGCTCTCCATTGTATTGTTTTAACTCAAATGCAATCACCTGGCAGGACTCCGCCACTCTCTAATTCATGTATTTCTGCCCTCATGTTTCTAGGATTAAATGGACTGATTCGCTAGTCAACTCTACTCGCAATCATATTATAATTTTTTTTTCTGATGAAAAGGAGGTCACTATTTTTTTCCCACATGGGAAAAAGGGCATATTTTATATTACAGCAATAAGGGAGGAAGGGGAGGAAACCTTTACATATACACAAATATATGTGTGTGTGTGTATATATATATATATATATATATATATATATATATATATATATATATATACATATATATATAAACATATATATACATATATGTAGTGTACCTATATTCATTTCTATATTCTTCATTTAACTCAATAACTTCAACTCACTACCTGTTTCAGGATATAAATCACTCTAGTTCAGTGGGGTTTTTTTTATTTGAAAAAATAATGCATAAGAAATAATTCAGATATGGAATCTAAGAAAAAAATTGCCTGCCCTTATCATTGTATCGTCTCAGAAAGTTTCTAGGTTTAAATATATGTGTAAGTATACATATATAAATATGCATGCATATATATGTTTATATATACATGTATATGTGTATATGTATGCAGATGTGTACATACATACATCCTGTTTGGCAATTAACAGACCCAAAAAACATTTTATTAGTGTTGTACATAGATTATGAAAGTTCTATTTTACATTTAATATAGCACTTAAAATCCACAAACTCTGTGAAATAGGCAATACCAGTATTATCACTCCTGTCTTAAGAGAGGGCTCCGAGAGGTCATGTTGTTGCCAAGTTCACATGGCTAATAACCGGTATGTGAATTTACCCCAACAGCTCTTCCCAACTCTGTCAGATATTCAGCATAGCCTTCATTTGATTTGTAACAGGACACAAAATAATTGCAAGTTCAGTTAATCAAGTGTTTTGAAATGTCAGGACACTATAATTTTTACTCATTGGATATTTCAAGATTGCATAGTTCAAGGGAAATTAAAGTGATTATTAGTATTTTAAACAAGCCTTAGTCCATTTCCTTGATTCAATCATAGTTACATTCCAGAGAAAATCGACCAACAATCCCTCACAGTCTTGATTACTCTTCCTCTCTAAATTTTGTTAAATTAAAAAAAAAAAACTGAAGTTGCTTGAAAGAGGAAAAATGTGGGGGGAAAGGGGGATAATATTCCTAATCACATGTATGATGGTCTAACTCCAAATTCTTAGAGACACCTCTAAGGCATCACATGATGTTATGATGTAATAGACAAAAGTTATGGTTAAATGTCTCCTAACTCTTGGTCAAGTAACTCCAGGGATGTGACATAAAGGACAAACATAGAGAAAGCAAATGAAAATTGTGTGAGTAGTTACTTTTTTTCTTTTGTTTTTACAAAAGAAGATCATTTGCCTATTTAAAATCTATAGGCGACTTTTAGTTCAATGTGCATTTTTTTCGAGTTAAAATGATTATATTGCTTTATTCTGCTTGTTTTATCTTTCAATCCTCTTGTAGTTCCAATTCATCATTTCAGTGTGTCCATAAGTATCCAAACCATCTATCATAAGGATTGAATATATATAGTTTCCTCATTGAATTTAGTTTCATATATAGGCATATATATAAAAATAATGTTTATATCATATGTATATAAAGTATGTGAAACTAAATTTTATAATTTGTTTTCATATATATATATATATGTGCATATGCATATGTAGAAATACATACATATACATATGGAACCAAATTTTATATGAGAAACAAAATATTATCTCAAGTGCTCATTGTTCCAGGGATTGGACATTTTATTAAATCTAGGCAGCACTGTTTGGAAGTACCTCAAAAATAATGCTAGGCAAAGACTCTAGACGTGAACTAACAGGCTTCCTACAAGATTTTCTATTGACTATGGAAACGCAACTTAATTCCAAGCATACCTAGGCATATTCACAGTCTGTGTGTATATATGCAGAAAAATGGATGTACACATATAAAGTGTCTAATACAGTTCTTAAGTTTTGATACTCAAAGTATTTTTCTTGTGGGGGGGAGATATGTATTTACTGAAAATGTTTAAAATAAGTGCTGTATTCTATACAACTTATTATTGGTTCTCACTTCTTCAGAATAAACACTTCTATTAATATGTCATGGGAGTACATTTATTGATTTTCCTCTAAACTTGCAAGTTCTTGTTACTAGATGAAATTCTATTGGTATACATTTTTCAATGAACAGATATCTCCTGAGTTCTAAACACCTGACTTAGAAATGTTCCATACTTACTCACTGATGACTGCTTTTCCTCTCCTGCCTATTTATAAAATGTTTCAAGAACTGACTGAATTGATCTGGTATGATAATGTCACTTTATGGCCAATAAGAGTAACCATGGGACAGTATCTCATCCTCAGCGCTTTCTTTCTTTTCCCTTCTAGGTAAAGGGTTGAATTTCACTCAGTTCTATTCCTTTTCTTCTCTTATCACTCTATCATCATCACCATTATCATCATTTTCATTATTCTTCAAGCAATCTCTCACCTTCTCCTTCGACAAGAAGTATACATTTTCTCTTTTCCTTGTTCTTCCTTCCCTGTCCCTGACCCCCTGTCTGTTTCTATCTCTTTGTCTTTCTCTGTTTGTTTCTATCTGTCTCTCTCTGTTTTTCTCTGTCTCTCTCATCCTCTCCCTTTCCCCTCTACTAAGTTTCTAAGTCCCTAAGCAATCCTAAGTCCCTAAACATAGCTAATAAAGGTAAGAATAGCATTAAACACATTTTATTTGGGGGCTGGGAGGACAGGTGAGTTTAGGCCTGTGATTTTATTGGTGAAGGGAACTCTCAGTGAAGGAGCTGCTTACACTATCACAGATTTATCAACTGTTCTTAGATTACTATCTTGGAGCTGCCAGTTGAAGTAAGCTATTTTGCATGGCTCACTATTAATCAATCGACAAGTGTTAATCTCTTGCTCTGTCCTAAGCACTATAGAACATAGTGTTCTGGGTTATATAGGTATACAGATATAAATGAAAAAGTCCCTGCCCCTCAGAAGTTTATATTTTATGGGGAAGATGACATGTGTGAACAAAAGTATACGCAAAAGAAATGTGTATAAAAAAAATAAGGTAATTTGGAGCAAGGAAGCCTGAGGAGTTTGGGGTAGGGTGATAGGGGGTGATGGATCAGAAAAGGCACCTAAGCTGAGCCTTGAAAGAATCTAGGGGTTCTAAGAGGTAGAACTAAAGAGGGCCTGTCTTCCACTAACCTATACAACTATACATCCATGTCAAGTTGTCCTTCTCTTATACAGGTGAAAGACTTACATTAAGGCAAAGAAAAAACAGAGTAAAATGAGATATAATAAAGATCACTCATAGCAATTCTGGAGCCCTGAAGAGTACTCAGGAGTCTATTTAGAATCTCCATAAATCGTCTACTTCCTCACCAGGCTCTCAATAAGCTTTTCCTCAAGCACCATCAATCAAGAATCATCATTTTCAATCTAATTTAATAGTATTATATTGATACATTTCTACTAGTTTTCATTGAAAGTGTATGTCAATGTCATGACCCCAAAGATCACTTAAACCTCTCTAAAACATAAATTATGCACCAAAGTTAAAGCAATTCCAATTGTTTCCATGGGCTAGGACACAAAGAATCCAAAACAAGGTTGAAACAAGTCCTAGAACTGATGCTCCCTCACCCTGATCTTACTCCTACCAGCAATGAGGTTGGACCAGCAGATTCAAAGATACAACCCAGGCTCACATTAAAATCCACCACTGTGCCTAATCTTTCCAGTGCATTGAGAGCTGGGCTCCAGGCTGTAGAAGTTTGCTCAGGTCTCAACAGCCAGCTTGACCACAGTCCTTCAGAAGCAAAAGCCTGATGGGGCCTGCAACCCAAAAGCACCAGTGCTGCAAAGTTCTGAACTGCTAGAGCCAAGGAAAGAAGGCAGAATGAAGTAAACCGAGCCAAGAAAGCAATATACACAGTGACTACAACATTGTAAATTGGAAAGGACAATGACAAACCAAAAGTAAATTAACCAAACTATAAAGATCAAGTGGAACTAAAATGAAGTGGTAAGAGAAGATAGCTCCAACCTACCCTTTTGGGAGATCTACAGTGTTACCCATGGTACATGTTTTGGACTATATACATACACACACACACACACACACACACACACACACACACACACACACACATACACACATATATATATATACATACACACATATAATTTATTTATAAGATATTAAATATGATATATTTATAATATATAATAAACATGGCATATTTATAATATATAACAAATATGATTGTATTTATACTATGTAATAAATATGATGTATTTATAATGTAATAAATATGGTATATTTATAATGTATAATAAATATATAAAAACATGATATGTATATGTGTGTGTGTGTGTGTGTGTGTGTGTGTGTGTGTGTGTGTATATATATGAGCTTGCTCACTTTTTTTTTATTCCTCTCTTAAAAAATTACTTATCTGTCATATGGAATAGTTCTTGGGGATGTCGAGGGAGAGAGATGAATGGGATGCTATGGTGATGTAAGAAACAGAAAATACCAGTAAAAACCTTTTTTAAAAAAAAAGAAAGAAAATACGTCAACCACATCATAAGTTTAAAAATCTATAATGGGCTACTTTAGAAACTAACTACCATGTATAACCTCTTCTTTTTTGAAAATGCAGTCTATGTTCTAAACACCTAGCTGTTTACTACACTTTGTTCATACCAAGTCAGTTTGGTCTTTTAATTCTGCCTATGTATTCCAAATTTCAGTAGAGTGTTGGCCTTCTTCATTTATTTTCTTTAATTTGCTCTTTGACCCA